GTTACACTTGACATGCATAAGCGCGTGGGCTGTCCATAAGAGCTGTCCCAACCACAGGTCCCAGCGTACCTTTCGGAAGCAAAGATTCCAATCTAATCATCTGATGCAATGCTGCGTGAATCGCCGGTGCCGCGTCAACCGGCGAAATGTGTTCGCCATAGAATTATGCTGCGTTTACACTATCGATTTTTGTCAGCAAATCGTACGGATTTCAAGTGCATTCCAACACAATCGGCTGAAATTCGATTCTGTTGGAGTCGGAGTCAGGCCGAGTTGGATAAATAGAACACGTTCTATTGCTCCAACTCGGCGACTTGACTCCGACTCCGACTCCAAGTCCGACTCCGAATTCGAAGCCGAATAACCTGAATTCAGGCTGCGATTTCAATGGTATCAGCAGATTCAGCACCCTGCTGTGTCAACTGTCATTAAGGACATTAAGTGATGCTGGCATTGCTGCATGCACTATCTCTTTTCCGCATGCATAACCATTCTGTTAGTGTTATAATTCTAATGCTGATTTTTTTGCAGATGCGATGGATGTGTGAACTTCACAGTGAAGGAAACATGGATGAAACCATGGGGAGCACTGCCACTTGCTATGTTAACGTTATCAAGAATTTATCCATATTACGTGGGTAGAGTTGAATGCTGTATTTAGTAATTCTTTTCACCTTATGGCGTCATCTAAGCCTAACCATAATCCCAAGTCTAACAGTTATTCAGTGCATGTGGCGGTAGTTTTGAAAAATGCACTACGTGCACAAAGGTATTATAGTTTATACTATAGTAACTGTGCCTGCATGTGTGTACTAGTTATTTTAATGTTGGCACCAATACATAAATAGTGGGTACGGTATATGTGTTTGTATACGTATATTTATATGTATATTTTACCAATACTAAAGCTCATAGGGTCTATGTCCCCCAGGGTACTGCCGGAACGTACCCTGGGTACGGTCCGGTATACCGGAACCGCCCCGAACGTACCCTGGTAACTATCTGATATGGTTAGGGTTAGGGTTAGGGAGTAGGCGTAAGCGACTCCCTAGACTCGTTAGTGGTGTAGGCGAGGTACGGTCCGGCATATTAGATAGTACCAGGGTACCGGACCGGACCCAGGGTACGTTCCGGCAGTACCCTGAGGGACATAGACCCTCTCAGCAATACTAAACACATGTTAAATCAACCATGCAACACAAAAACATGTACACTGCAACAAAATACGTGATATCTGTTTGTAGTATTCTTTCCTCAAGTTTTAACTTACTTTCAGAGGATGCTTTGACGGAAAAATTTCAGCACAAAGCTATTGCTAAGTCTGACGCGTCTACCCTTATTGAAACTTTAATCACGACAATTCAAGACCTGGTGAGTCACAAATTTGTATGTATTAATAAATATTACAGTTATTATTGCTTTTCATAACGATTTTTACATGCATGTAATAGGATAAGTATTAAGTATGTGTGTAAGTGTGATTGTTTTAGTAATACATAACATTATTGAGAAAAACAGAACATGGCCTGCACACACACGCATGCATGCACGCACGCACTCACGCATGCACTCGCGCACACACACACACACACACACACACACACACACACACACACACACACACACACACACACACACATAGATAGAGAGACACATGCATGTACACATAGTGCAT